CGGGATCTCAGGCGGGCACAGGAGAGAATCCCAGGTCCTGTGTGGAGTCAGGGTGAGAGCACGGAGGGAGGACTGAGGGAAAACTAGGCGCCAGAACAGAGTTGGCCCTTGGAGGCCATAGGGCGTGGTGAGCACATGCAGCACTTCCTGACATCTGGGTCTCAGAGACGCTGGAGAGGGGGAGTAAGGGGCGGGGTCTCAGAGAGGCTGGGGAGGGGGTATAAGGGGCGGGGTCTCAGGCGGGCACAGGAGAGAATCCCAGGTCTTGCGTGGAGTCAAGGTGAGGGCCCTGAGGGAGGACTGAGGGGAGCCTGGACCCCAGAACAGAGTTGGCCCTGGGAGGCCATAGGGCGGGATGAGCACGTGCAGCACTTCCTGACATCCGGGTCGCAGGGACGCTGGGGAGGGGGAGTACGGGGTGGGGTCTCAGAGAGGCTGGGGAGGGGGTATAAGGGGCGTGATCTCAGGCGGCCACGGGAGAGAATCCCAGGTCCTGCGTGGAGTCAGGGTGAGAGCCCTGAGGGAGGACTGAGGGGAACCTGGATCCCGGAACAGAGTTGGCCCTTGGAGGCCATAGGGAAGAATTTAAATAAAGAAAAAAAAGAACACTCCTCATGGTAGATATCTCCATAGAGCTTATATTTACTCTAAACTGAGTTTTGCCAGACCGTCCAAGTGGATACTCCTGGTTTTTCATTATCCATCAACACATTACACTGTAGAGGATACAGTGGCATAAAATTGGTGTAATCCAGCAAAACTCTGATATGCAAACAGGACAACACAAAATCATGAGAATAGTTTTCTATCTAGTTCTAGAAAAATGATTCATGTTTTTCCTTCCTTCTTTCTTTCGAGGTTTGTAAAAAGGCAAAATTATGTATATATAGTAATTCGGTACCTAAAAGTTTGAACTCTGGAAAATGGGATTGCCACTCTCCATGTTTCCCATTGGCTAAAGAGATGCTTTCTCTAAGAATATGCAAACTCTCTAGTCCAGTCTTTTATATCTTTAAAGTTATACCTGTTTGTTTTGTAACATAATGCCAGCATGGCACTACAGTCAGCTGTATCTGAGAACAAAAGTGTATATCTCAATGTGATGAACGAGGACATAGGAAAGCTTGGACAGTTGAATTTTGTCCATGGTGATCTGAAGGTGGCAGAGATCTGGATTTGGTTGAGTCACTTCCGGTTTGATTATCTCGGCTGATTGCCACCAATCACATTTAAGGCTTCTGCCATCACATGGTTTATTTTTCATACATGCTGATGTGTGTATGTCAAATAGTGCAAAGGACTCCATGGTAATTTTAACCTACTACCTGGGTCTTTAGTTGTGAGAACCACAAGGTACGTCCCGGTTGACTGAGTTTCTTGAATGAATGAAATGCACAACGAGTTCCCTTAGCAAAAGTAGAATCAGCCTCCCCTTTGAAGATGTGGCATGATTTGTAAACCTGACCACTCTAAGGACATCTTTGCTAATTTAATACACGTCTATATACTGCTGCTTTTTCATCCAGAAAATTTTCATTTCAAAAAGAGAAAAATCTTCTATAACGATTAATTCATTAACTCTGATAATATCTCTCTGCATACCAGAGTCAGCAAACTCTGGCTTGCAGGCCAGATATGGCCAGCTACCAGTTTTTCTACAGCCTGAATGCTAAGGCTGGCATTTGTATTTGTAAAGGACTGGAAAACAAATCAAAAGAAGAATACTATTTCTTGGCGTGTAAAAATCATATGAGCTTCACATTTCAGTGTTCATAAACCAAGCTTGACTGGCGCCCTCACTCATTTGCAGCTTGCTATGGCTTTCATGTTAAGTGGCAGAGTTGGGTAGCTCTGACAGAGACTATATGGCCTGCAGAACAGAAAATATTTACTGTGTGGCCCATTTCAGAAAACGTTTGCTGCTTCCTCTTCCAGGCAAAGCTATTTTTGGAAAGAGAACTGAGGCCCAGCATGAAGTGGGTAGACATAGCAAAATCACTGCAATGAACTAGCCTGGGATGTAAACCAAACTTCTCATGTGATGTAATTTCTAGCGAGGCATCTTGCATAAGTGGGGGAAATTAAAATCTGGAGGTGAAAGTAGAAAACAAAAATCAAAAATCTAAATTTTGCATAGTGGGAATGTTTGAATGATAGAGCCCAAGGATCCAGGGCGTATTTTATCTATTGCCAAAATGCGCTTTTTCTGGAGTAGCATGCTTCCCTTCCCGAAAGCAGAGCCATGCAGCCCTAGGCCATCACAAACCCTTGCTGATTGATTGCTGGATGAGGGTCACGTAGCTCTGACTTTGGTCGGTGTAGGCAGTGATCACGATGACCTTTAAATGTTTAGGGTCTCAAAGCACACATACTTTGGGGGGGGGCCCATAAAAAGGCTGAGTCTATGTCCTTCCGTGAATGGCCCCCTAGAAGTGCTATAGTCAGGTTCTCAAAAGCCTGCCTCTTCCTTTTATTTTGGGCAGGTTTTAGTCCATTTGTGAGGGGATAACGAAGGTTAGAATTTCAGTACTTGTTACAACCTTGTCAGTGGTGGAGGACGGACGTGGCTAAGAACAATGGTTATACTTTGTAATTTCTGGTTTGTGTGTGTATGTGGCTATCTAATGTTTTATTTGGGGGTAATCTCGTGTATATAATTTATAAATACATAATACATTCTTTACATATTTGTGCGATCAAACTTTTAAAAAAATTTTTTATTGAAATATAGTTGATTTACAATATTGTGTTTCAGGTGTACAGCAAAGTGATTCAGTTATACATATATGTGTATATATATATTCTTTTTAGATTCTTTTCCCTTATAGGGTATCAAACTTTTTTTGGTGGGCGGGGCCTTGCCACGTGGCATGGGGGATCTTAGCTCCCCGACCAGGGATTGAACCTGTGCCCCCTGCAGTGGAAGTGTGGAGTCTGAACCACTGGACTGCCAGGGAAGCCCCAGACTTTTTATTGATAGTTTTATTTGTGTCATCAGATAGTTCACATACTTGTTTTTTGCTTAATTTTCTTCTGTTGTATAACAAATTACCACAGATTTAATGGCTTAAAGCAACATATTTATCACCTCACAGTTTTTATCCATTAGGAGTCTGGGAATGGTGTAGCTAGATCTTTGGCTCAGGCTATCACAGAGGTGCAGTCAGGGTGTCGGCTGGGGCTGTGGTCTCATCTGGAAGCTCGTGTCCCCTTCCAAGTTCAAGTAGTTTGGGGGCAGAATTCTTTTCCTTGAAGCTATAAAACCCATGGTGGATTTCTTCTTCAAGGTCATCAGGAAAGAGTCTCTGACTCAGAGAAGGCCTAAGCCCTCTTTTAGAGGATGCCCAACTGATTAAGTCAGACCCACCCAGGATAATCACTCTTTTGATTACTTAGAGTTCACTGATTTGGGACCTCAATTACATTTGCAAATTCCCTTCTACCTTGTCATATGATGTCACACAATCAAGGGAGTGACATCCATTGCCTTTGTCATATAACATAACCTAATCGTGGTGTAACACCAGGGGGCTGAGATCATAGATACCATGTTAGAATTTTGGCTCTCACACCAGGCAAGGGAAGCATGACTCCAAGAGTCGGAGGGAGCCAGCTTTGAATCTTAGCTCTTCCACTAACTAGCTGTGTGAATGTACAAGTAATTTAACTTCTCCATGCCTCTGTGCTCTCAACTGTAAACTGGAGATCATTGTAGCATCATTTTAGCGTTCCAGCATCTACCACTTCAGGCTGGTGCCAGAATTCAATAAGATAATACTTACAAAGGGTCTGGAACTGTGACTGGCAAGTAGCAAGTGGTGAACAGGTGTCAGATATTTTCATTCATTTTTATACATACAGACGTTCTATTCATCCAACGGAAAAATGATATTGGACATTGCCAGAACGTGCATCACAGGATCTTCAAGAAAGCAAGACAAGAGGAAGGAATTAGGAATGCAAATTAATCCTGGTTTTATAGTAGAAAGGGCTTACTGAGAGCAAGCTAGTTCAGTAAATGGTGCTTGAACACAAAGTGAGATACGTCTGTGAAAGCGTCTGCACCGAATAAATGTTGCTTGAATTTAAATCTGGACAAAAGTACACGCTTAATAATTGTCTGTGGATTAATGGATGTGATTATCTTCTTTTTAAAGTCAAATCACTGCTTAACCAAATTATTTTTTTCTCTTTATTGTTACCCACAGAACTATTTGAACCTGACAAACATTTGATCTGTCGACGTGGCCCCTGCGTTCTTCCCCGATCTAAGGTAAGGTCTGTTAATATGAAACCAATAGAGAAAGTCAGAGTGTAAGAACGTTTGCCAAAGATCTTGATAAAGTATTGTGTAGCAAATGGAGAAATACAAATATCTAACCCAGGACCTGTAGTTTCTGTACTGAGTGATAATTCTCACCTACCTCCTAGTCACAAGCTAAAGGCCTGTGTTAAGCCCTTCCTCTCTGAAGGGAAGGAGAGAGAAAACAAAAACAAACCCCCCCAAACAAGGTGACCCCCCACAAAAACACCACTCTCAATTTGCTTGTGTCCTTGGAAGTAAAGACAAAGAGATTCCCTTGACTACAGACTTGCTGATCTGTGGAAAATCCACAACCCCACGTTACCTCGTGCTTACAACAATGGGCAGACAGAAATCACACACTGCGGGCTTTTGTCCTCTCCTTATATTGGCTTCTTATTCTCCAGAATGGCTTCTGGTCTGGTAACAGGGAGAGGGCCTGCTGGCTGAGGAACGCTCTGCAGAGTGGCTGGTATGGCTGTGGGTGGTGCCTGGGGAGCCTGGGAAAGGAAAATTCCTGGGAGCCGGGGCTGTGTTGTAGGTCCAGTAACTCAGCCATCCTGGAATTCTCGGACATGCCTGGTGCTTTGGGATCCTCGGAGCTCCTATCAGAGTGAACCGAAGAGCTAACTATTCTAAAATTTTATAGAAAAGAGAGGGGGGAGAGAGGGAGGGAAATGACATCAACATACAGCAACATTCTGAGTCTCATTGTCAAGTACTAGCAAACCATCCTAAGTAGCAGATCCAGATCTTGCTAAATTTTTCATAAAATAGGAATTATTTTAGACCGTAGGAACAAAAGGACTATAGGATTGGTAGATCATTTCTTGTCTTACTTCAGAATCTATCTCTGTATATAATCTATTTTATTTTTTTTAACATCTTTATTGGGGTATAATTGCTTTACAATGGTGTGTTAGTTTCTGCTTTATAACAAAGTGAATCAATCATACATAAACATATGTTCCCATATATCTTCCCTGTTGCGTCTCCCTCCCTCCCTATAATCTATTTTTATCATTAAATCACTGGAGGAACATAGAATAATGGAGGCAACCATCCAGATGTTTCCAAGCATCCAGGTGTTTGACAGTGTGGAAGTCTATGTGGACACAAAGTGTCTGGGCTTTCCATGGACTCATTGTTTATCCTTTTGATTTATTTCCTTATTTATATGTATGTATTTGGAGGGGTGGGATGGGTGGGACACGAGCAGATTTCATTCATTCAGCACACACTTAGGAAGCGCCTGTTATGGGTAAGACACTGAAAGACACACAAAGGAAACACAGAGGGACTCGGGCCGTAAGAGATTTGCAGTCCTATCCCAGGGACTAGAAATCTTGTGACAAGCATCGTTCAAAGTTGTATTGACTCCCATACGCCTAACTCATCTTCTGGCAAAGCTGGTCAAAACCATTCAGCGGGTTGCCGAATTCTACAAGAGAACAAGAGTGAGGTTGAATTGACTGGTCATTCAGCAGATGTGGTTAACTCGATTTCCAGTTTACCAACAGCCAAACCAAAGGCGTCTAGTAGGAGTAAGCCAGCTTTCTGTCAATCTCTTCCGTGTCTCTTGGAGGGAAAAACAACCGGTCCAACTGCCATCTGGAAGGCGAAATTGCAAGCAGCCAGTCAGATGCAGTTTTCACCTCTGAACCAAGTGTTCAGTTTCGCCCACACGTTTCCTCCAGCGTGAGTTTCTCATTCAGTGATCCCCAGCTGTATTTTTTCCCATTCAGCTCATCTCACTTTCTTTTTAATCAGTGACAAAACAGGATAAAACACCTTTATTATTATTATCTGAAGCTCAGCATTACACCTAGGATTTCTCTCTTTAAAAACTAGGAAGCCATGGCATTTATCAAAAGCAGAGAAGCGGTGGATGTGACTAGGGGTTCATATTGCCAATGGGTATTGCAAATTATACTAAGAAAATCTGAGAGTGAGTATCTTGTGTTATTAGCTTCTCAAATTTGATGACTACTATTTTATGAGTGTCTTCTTTTCCTTCTAGACATTTGTGGCATTTCTCTTAATGACCAAATATAGATATAGATATAGATATGTAACTTGTACCACCTGCAGCATTATTGTTAAGAGGAATAATCCACGTGGTACTGATGCAATTTTAGTCTTATATTTCTGGACTCTTGGAACCATTTAAGCAGCTGGCCCGTGGGTGGACTCCTTAGAGCACATTTGAAAACCTTACAGAGAGGTACATTTTACCCAAGGCTGCACCATTTGGCTGTCAGAGTCCCTGGAATGTTCGGGAAAGGATGCTAAGTCAACACTCCACATGACTTAATTGGGTGTTTCCATGAAAGATATAATAAACCGTGCTTCTCTATACTGTCTGAAGATGGGTCACGTGGCAGGGTCTCTGTTGACAAAGGCCGCCAGGAAGTGACTCTCTCTTCCCCAGAGACACCATTTTCAAGCTGTTCTTTTCTGCTCAGTAAAGATTAAAAAGGAAGTGAAACCTTTTGCACTCTTCTGCACTGCTGTTTTTTGGTGTGTTTTTTTTTTCAGACAGAGCAGGAACGCCTGCTCATACATTCTTCCAAGACTTGCTAAGAAAGACTTGAAAATAGCAGGCAAAAAGTGTCTGTGTTTGCTGTCTGTTCTTTGGCTATGGAATAAAAACAAAAAAAAATGACATTGAATCTGGTGTTTGAAATGGCAGTGCTGTTGTGGCTATGATGACTGGCTTGACAAGCCCACAGTATTCTAGAAGCATGAGCCTGTCCCAGGAGCCAGCTCAGCTGTTTCTCAAGAATGAGACGGACTGGGGCCCTGCAACAGTGTTTCCTCTTGCCGACCTTTCAGCCGCTGGGCAGAAACACATGCAAATAAAAATCAGGAACCCCAGAGAGCAAGCAAATCATTTCCAGACAGGCTGATAATGAACTTCAAGCCTTCAGCTCCAATATCACTGATTGAAATCCATTTGTTTTAGCTCTTTAATAGAATATGAGGTTAAATACACAAACCTACGTTTTTAGAATTCTCTCTTGTATTCATACCAGCGTGCGATTTTTTTTTTTTTAAGACAACATAAAATAGAGTGACTTTTTAAAAATCTAGCTTTTACGTCTTAATAAAGCTGGGGGGAAAAAACTAGCATAGCACGAGAAAATAGAAAATGCTTTCAGATTTCCTCTCCCTGATTTTGAAGGTTTTCTTTTTCTTTTTTCCTTTATTAATAAACCTTAAAGATTTGAAAATGTAAGCCAGGTGTGAGCTCTGAGGGAGAAGGTGCATTTTATTCACCTTTGTGTCCCACACAACCAGAGATGGTGGGGTTGGTGTTTGTTGAACTCAGGAATCTTCTCCCTCCCGTAACAGGGATAAGTCCCTTTTATAACTGTGAGTCTGCAGGAATCTGAGACCGAGAGTAGAGAATCTCTGCTTATTTTTCTAATCTAACTAATCTGTCCTTCGAATTCTTCTATTTTGGATAACGTTAGATTTGAATCACGAGTTCCTGGGTCCGTAGTACTGTTTGTACTCCTGAGATTACATTGAGAAGTTTACTAGACCGTGCATCTCTAGAGCCTTCCTTTTCCTTTTTTCCATGTGTCTGGAGATGTAGTGAGAAAATCTGCCTTCAGCTACCTCAGTGGTTTGGCAGCCCTGACTTCCTGTTCATCATTTGCATTTCTATGGCCTTTAAGCTAAACGTTTCAAAAATGTAACGATTCATTTCATTAAACTGTACTTTTTTGTCTCTGGAATGAATATGACAATGTTTAGGTCATTTCAGAACCGGAAAATTAAGGCCCCAAAGTTGCAAAGATTTTTCTCTCTTGTCATTGTGCGTATATATGCAGTATATGAATAAATCGTTTAGTACTGTAAAAAAGTTTCAGATTTTTTTCCCTTTGGGTTGGAAACAAAAGCCCTTTTCAGAGACTTCGATGATTCTTCCTCCAAACCTTAGCCTTATTCACACATTCTGCTAACCAAACCGTCCTTATAAAACCAATAGAACCCTCTACCTTTGGGACGGGGGGGAACCACAAAGAAATTAGCTGAAGCATTCAAATTCTCCTTTTCCGGGACTTTCATCCTCATTCTCCTCTATGACAATCCCTTGATTTCTCCTTGTCCATATATATTTTTCATTTATATTGATATATTTAATTTCTGTTTTCCATTTATATTGCTCTATCAGCAGTTCTGTACTTTTTTTAAAAAGCGACCCCTTTTTGGTATCCTCAAATTTTTGTGGCCTGCCGTAAGATACTATGATTATTTTTACAATTTTGAAACTTATTTAAAAAGAATCTTCTAGCTAGGGCATTGCATTCTTTTGAGTGGGAAAATACATATTTGATATTGAATCTCTCAGTCCCTGTTATAACTGTGAGCCTGCAGGAATCTGAGACCCCTCGTAGAGAATCTCTGCTTGTTTTCATTTAGCCATTTGGATGCTTCCCCGCCTTGTTTTCTAATTGCTTCTCAGCATCTCATTTCAGGGGATGGGAATTAAGCCGTCTTTTCCTCTCACAGGCAGAGACCAGCTGTTCATGCATTGCTTGGTTCATCCTCTTGATCAACTTCTGCCTGGGAAGAGTCACTGCACTGACCCTTCAAACACATCTCTGGTTGCTGCAACTAATTTTATGTTTTAGTACAAAGTAAAGGACCTCTGACCTCCATCTAGTAAGAATCTGACCAAATGTTCGTGAATTAACAGTTTCCATCTTTGCAGACTTTGGCCTTTGAAGCTTGTTTGGCTTTCTTTTCTTACTGTTGCAGTCTTTCAGTTTTTTTATGAGCATAAAGGTTGCAGAGACCTATTCCTTCCTGAAAGGACCATCAGGGCTCCTTGGCTGGATGGATAAAGGGTCCAGGACTGACCCGTGGGCTGCTGGAATAGTCATGTGAAAAAAAAAAAAAAAAGGCCCCATTAACCACTTTTTCCACCTGTTCTTTAGTCTCGCTTGAAAATCGTTTGTTTCTAATGTCTTTTCATCACAGTTTTTACAGTCATCTTGTCAACAAGTTATCCTAAAAATTGTTGAAAAGGCCCCATCCATTCTCAGCACAGAAGCTCCCCTTTGGATTCCTTTGTGACTGTTATTTGGCTCTTAACATGTGGCTGGTATGAACTTGTTTGGAAAATCCCGACCCACTAGAGTCACCGAGGCCTTCCTCATGGGATGGTTTCTAGGGACTTCTTCATCTAATTAGCAATGACCCCAGAACCTTACCTCTACCAAGAAAATGTCCCAGTTAACTCAGCTCCCAAGGCTCCTCAGTACTTCACTTTTCTAGTTGCTTGATGTTGAACGTAAGTCACCTGAACCGTGGTTGCATAGAATGGGTTGGGAGTCACACAGATCTCTCTGTATAAGGACTACTAAGAACTCTTCACTAGGTCTAGATTCTGGTTCATGTTGCCTTCTTTAAAAATAGGTAGAGATGCTCTTTCATATTAAGTAGTGTGTGGGGACTTGCCATTGGCTTCAAGGTTTTTTTTTAATTGCATGGTTCTCTGATCTTGTTGGGGAACAGGAGGCCAAATAGATCTAGATTAGGGCACCCAACTGCAGCCAAGATGTATGGGTCTGCTCTTGGCTTCTAATTCGCCATGTGACTTTGGGCGGGTCCCTCTCTCTGGCTTTGAGTTTCTCATTTGTAGAACAATGGAATTGGATCAGGGTCTTTCCACCTCTAAAGGTCTGTGATGCATAGGCGAGCCACAGCATCATGGGTTCCAGCACAGCACCCCACAGCCTTCTCGCTCACCCTTCCTGGCACACACGCACATCTCCCTGTAGGACTCCCTGGTTTTTAAAGAAGGGCAAATGGAAAAGGAGACCTGAAACCCACATAGTTTCAGTTCTGACTTAGTGAGTTTTGAATTTAAATGCTTTCGCATATGCAACAGTGAGTGGGCAGAAGAATCCTACAGAAAGAGCACCCTGAGGTTGGATGAGCAATGCACAGCTCCTTTCTTTGGTGGTTCTCTTTTGGAACAAAACACATCATTGCTCAAAGCCAGAAGAGAAAAAATAAGAATAAGCGGAGGCATTGTTGAACAAAGAGAAATAGAACATGGTGGCCTGTGTATCCACGTAGGCTCTTGGCAAACCTACCTACTTCTATTTTTTTTTTTTGCTTTGTCATATTCCCTTTCTTTTTGTACCTTTTTTTAAAAATTGAATTGTAGATGATTTACAGTGTTGTGTTAGTTTCAAGTGTACAGCAAAGTGATTCAATTATACATATGTACATATATATGTTCTCTTTCAGATTCTTTTCCCTTATAGGTTATTATAAAATATTGAGTGTAGTTCCCTGTGCTATACAGTAGGTCCTTGTTGGTTACCTATTTTATATATAGTAGTGTGTATCTGTTAATCCCAAACTCCTAATTTACCCCTTCCCACCTTTCTCCTTTGGTAACTATAAGTTTGTTCTCTATGTCTGTGGGTCTGTTTCTGTTTTGTATATAAGTTCATTTGTATCATTTTATTTTAGATTCCACATATAAGCAATATCATATGATATTTGTCTTTGTCTGCCTTACTTTACTTAGTATGATCATCTCTAGGTCCACCCATGTTGCTGCAAATGGCATTATTTCATTCTTTTTTATGGCTGAGTAATATTCTATTGTATATATGTACCACATCTTCTTTATCCATTCACCTGTTGGTGGACATTTACAACCTACCTACTTCTAATGCTGCCACATCTGCCTGTATCAGGATGAGTTCTGGGCCTCAAGATTTGAAAACACAAAACAAAATAAACAAATTTTAAAAAAACAGTGCTAAAAGGGAAAACTGTCGGGACTGATGTTACACGCAATAGCATCTTCCAGGTAGCTCTGTGGGATGAGTAACACTTGGGTTGGGCAGTGTGACAATGCTGGGACCAAGAATGGTGGACGATGGTGCATCACCATTGCTTCCTACAGATTCCGACCAAGGCAGAGATCCCTGTCATTAAGGTGTGTGAGTACACGGCCTGCAAATAGTATGTTTGGCAACTTTTAAATTCATTTGAGTCCAGACCGACAAATGTGTTCTAGGCAAGTGATTGCATGATTTTCCACGGGATTTTGTCGCACCAGCCCATAAATGAAATACAAAAACCGATCAGGGAATGAGGGAGGTCTGAAATGTGCTTGGGAGTGTGAAGAGAAGATGGAGAGGAATGCTAAGGGTTTAAACAGGAAGAACTAATGAGGAAAACATGTGACACTACTACAGGGGAATTTTTCCTCTTTTAGCCATTCCTGACTTTCCGTAGTAGTCACCATTCATCTCAAGCTAGTCCTCTGATATTTTTGCATCCTAGAAAAATGAAGAGTCTATAAAAGACAACATCTTGTAGGCCTGGTGTGTTTGTAACTGGCTTTTTGAAAGATGTTACTGATCTGCCCATGAGTGCCTTTCTAAGCTTTCATTGGATTTTTCGTGGGAAGGGAAAATTAGTTTTCCTGTTGAAATACTGGACCCCAAGGAGAAGACCTCTTTTTCTGTGAGCGATGAATAAGGAGAGCGGATATGATGTATTCAACAGTTTTTTTTTTTTATTTGAAGTGTGATTTACAATGAAGTGATTTACAGTGTTGAAGTGTGATTTACAATGTTGTGTTAGTTTCAGGTGTACAACAAAGTGATTCAGTTTTAAATACATATCTATATAGATATATAGATATACACATATGTATATTCTTTTTCAGATTCTTTTGTCTTATAGGTTATTACAAAATATTGAGTAGAGTTCCCTGTGCTATACAGAAGTCCTTGTTGTTTATGTCTTTTATATGTAGTAGTGTGTATATGTTAATCCCAAACTCCTGATTTACCCCTCCCCCCTTCCCCTTTGGTAACCATAATTTTGTTTTCTACATCTGTGGGTCTCTTTCTGTTTTGTATATAAGTTCCTTTGCATCATTTTTTTAGATTCCACATATAAGCGATATCATATGATATTTGTCTTTGTCTGACTTACTTCACTCAGTATGATCATCTCTAGGTCTAACCATGTTGCTGCGAATGGCATTATTTCATTCTTTTTTATGGCTGAGTAATATTCCATTGTGTATATGTACCACATATTTATCCATTCGTCTGTCAGTGGACATTTAGGTTGCTTCCATGTCTTGGCTATTGTAAATAGTGCTGCAGTGAACATAGGGGTGCATGTATCCTTTTGAATTATGGTTTTCTTCTGATATATGGCCAGGAGTGGGATTGCTGGATCATAGCAGTAACTCTATTTTTAGTTTTTTTTTTTTTCGGTACGTGGGCCTCTCACTGTTGTGGCCTCTCGCATTGCAGAGCACAGGTTCCGGATGCGCAGGCTCAGTGGCCATGGCTCACGGGCCTAGCCACTCCGCGGCATGTGGGATCTTCCCAGACCGGGGCATGAACCCGTGTCCCTTGCATCAGCAGGCGGACTCTCAACCACTGCGCCACCAGGGAAGCCCTATTTTTAGTTTTTTAAGGAACCTCCATACTGTTTTCTATAGTGGCTGCACCAATTTACATTCCCACCAACAGTGTAGGAGGGTTCCCTTTTCTCTACACCCTCTCCAGCATTTATTATTTGTAGACTTTTTGATGATGGCCATTCTGACTGGTGTGTTCAACGAAGTTTTAAAACATCGTCAGTTTTGCAAAGGTACCTAAAGAAAACATGACATACAGATTTGTGAGTACGAGTTCAAGGGAAGTCAGACCTTATGCAGAAAGTAACATAATGTGATGGTGTGCAGAGATGAATGAAGAGATGTAGCTAGAGAATCATGAAATAAGAACTGAAAGTAATGTTGGTTTTTCTCTTGGGCTTAGAAAGTTTGGGGAACCATTTAATAACAAATATTCATGATTCTTCTTGGTGCGTTAGAGATGGGAAAGGTTGATTCCTACAGCTTGCTGTATGCTTGGGGCTTTACCAACTTTTGGAGTTAAACAGCGACTAAAATACAGAGTTCCTGCCCCAAGGGAGCTTGCATTCTAGCAAGGAGACACTGACCCCCCCCCCCCCCGCCGAAAAAAAAGGAATATATAATATGCCAGGCATGTTGATAAATGCTTTGGAGAAAAGTAAAATAATGTGAAGGAGATGGAGAGAGAATGGGAGCGTGGGGATCCGTGCTATTTTATTAGACACATTATGATTGTAAGAATCATTAAGTCTAGTCACCATTCTTCCTCTGCACAGATGAAGAAACGGGGGCACTGAGAGATGGCCCAAGGGCCCCCAGCTGACTATGCCCCCTGGGAATAAGAACCAACTCTCCTGACCCAAGACCAATGCTCTTCCCTTTTGCCTCCATCCTCAGCTTGCCCCCAGTTGGAAATGAGCTGCTGCCATCCGATTTTGAAGTCTATCATTTCTTCCCTTTGCGATCAGTTTGTATTGATTTTCTTACGAGTACAAAATAAATTGTTCAACACTATTCCTGTACCAACTTGTGCCAGCAGTAATGGTACCTAAGATGTAGAAAGGGTTAATTTACCAGTTGGTGACTTCGGAGTGGTCTAGAGTTGACCTCATCAACTCTGTGGTCCTTAAGCACTCAGGACACTTCCTACTTTAATGCGCACGAGAGTCAGCTGGGAATCTTGTGAAAATGCAGGTTCCGATTCAAGATGCCTAGCTGGGGACCGAGATTCTGCGTTTCCAACAAGCAGTCCGGTGACGCTCATATTACTGGTCCATGGACCACACTTGAGTAGCGAGGGTCTAGGCGCCTCTGCTCCACTTTGCTCAGCACAACTGCAAGAGAAACCTCAGAGTCAAAGCTGGCATTTCCTTTCTTCCCTTCCCTATTGCCCTACTCCCCTCCTTTGGAAGAATCCAGCTTAAAAAAAGAAAACGTTATGAAACACGAGTGCGAAGCCTGAATTACAGTGTTAGGCACGTAATTATCTGGGCAAAAAACAGATGTTTCAGACTCGGGGTTAGCTCAGCCCGCTGCCGGGGCCACATGGTAAAGTCTCTTGATGGAAGAGCCAACCAAGGCCACACAGTTTATGCCAAGAGAAAAAGGGGTGCGTGTGTCTGAAACTCGGGGAGGGAAGTGAGTAAGGGTTACCGTTGCATAAATAATATAGGAAGCGTCTCCCCGCCAGACTGCAAGCTGAGACTCCTGCGTGCTAATCTCGGGTGCAAGGGTGACTCGGTCTGCGTCTGCAAATGAAAGCTTGCATCCTTGGCTGGGAAATAATAATAGGAAAAAGCCTGCCCCATGCTGGAGCTTTTCCTCTGTGAGGAGCTGCCGCTATCCACTGTTAAGATCCTTTGATTGAGCCATCCTGAAGGAAGGCGCAAGCGTGAACTGGGACTTGGTTTGGGAAAGGTGGCAGAAACAGTCTGTAGAGAGCAGGATTCTTTATTTTTTTAATTAAAAAAAATTTTTTTAAACATCTTTATTGGAGTATAATTGCTTTATAATGTCGTGTTAGTTTCTGCTGTACAACAAAGTGAATCAGCTCTACATATACATACATCCCCATATCCCCTCCCGCTTGTGTCTCCCTCCCACCCTCCCTATCCCACCCCTCTAGGTGGTCAGAAAGCACCGAGCTGATCTCCCTGTGCTATGCGGCTGCTTCCCACTAGCTATCTATTTTACGTTTGGTAGTGTATATATGTCCATGCCGCTCTCTCACTTTGTCACAGCTTACCCTTCCCCCTCCCCGCGTCCTCAAGTCCATTCTCTACGTCTGCGTCTTTATTCCTGTCCTGCTTCTAGGTTCATTGGAACCTTTTTTTTTTTTTTTTAGATTCCATATGTATGTGTTAGCATACGGTATTTGTCTTTCTCTTTCTGACTTACTTCACTCTGTATGACAGACTCTAGGTCCATCCACCTCACTACAGATAAGTCAATTTCGTTCCTTTTTATGGCTGAGTAATATTCCATTGTATATATGTGCCACATCTTCTTTATCTATTCATCTGTCGGTGGACGCTTAGGTTGCTTCTGTGTCCTGGCTGTCGTCAATAATGCGAGAGCAGGATTCTTGCAAAACCCGCCTTCTGTGGCTCTTTACATTTGCACCTACTTGCTACCCACCATGGCAAGTCTTTTGTCCACCACCTGGGCTGGCCCTGCGCGTATGAACGCGTGTTCTGGGGCCCCAGAGGGCAGCTCAGGAGGGAAAGGCCAGCCCCCGTCCCCCCACCGTGACCTGGCTGAGCTAGGGAGAACTAAGCCCCCAATTGCGAGCTCAGTTGCTTCTCAGAGGAAAATGGTGTAACAGTCATGATAAGAAAAAATTGAATTCACATCTCTAAGTGGGCAAAGGCTAAACAGTTCCCATTATTCTTGGGGAGGCAAAAGCAGTTCTGGCGCGCCTAGGGTTTCACAGCTCCGTGGGGCGTCATCTCAGTCTGAGACTTTGGGCCATTTAGTCTGTGCTCAGTAAGATCTGGCGGAGGATGTGAGGATGGGGTGACGAGTGGGTGACAGATAGCTGACTTTGGATTTCTCGGCGTTTGCCAAAATCTTGGAGGCTGTCTTACTCCTTCTATAGTTAAGACTGGTTTCACTGGGATGATGATCGTTCCCCAGAGGACAGTTGGACTCTCCCTGACACTCTCAGGAAGGACAAGTGGAATGCTCTGAGTCCCCAGGAAATGGCCCGGAAGGTTGGACTTCATTCTGGGAATTTTCACTGGTCTCTTTTGTTTGAAGTTGAGCTAAAGGGGTGGCAAGTAGAGGTGCACTTCTCTTATCAGTTACTAGAATGTTTTCTACCAGCTGGATAAGCCACCCAGGGAAACAAAGGCTAGTTTCCTGGTCAATATCAGGTCCAGTCTGTGACAGCCTCCCAGCCTTGGGGAAGGGAATAGTGAAGGCAAACGCCCTTTTCTCTGTCACCAAATCTCAGTCCATTGCAGTGTCTCAGGGATGAGGCTGTGAGGCAACCCAGCTATCGCAGGCCTGGCTTTTCTGCGTGAGACTGTGATCTTGGCTTGGCAAATGCCAACTGTTTCCAGAGGGAGATTCTGGGAAGTCCAAGGAAAAAAAACCTTTTAGTTCCAATGGCCCTTCTCACCATCACTTTGAATGGCTAAATCTTTTGTACTTTGAATTGTCCACATTTCCAGATGTGGCATATTGAGCGGACACCCACTGATAGGGCCATTCTATACCTCTACCCAGTGAGCCAGGCCCCAGGAGGGGGGTGACGCGGGGGGGGGGGGGGGGGAAAAAGTTCAGTCCATTTTTCTTATTGTACCACTGATCTTACAATGTCGCCATACCCTTAAAGCCAGTGAGCATACTTGTTTTTGTTTGAGTAAACTTTTTGCTCTGGGATTAAATTTGCAGAAAAGTTGCAAAGATAGTACAGAGAGTTCCCATATACCCCTCACCCAGCTTCCCCTAATGTTAACATTTGACATTTCCAACTGTTTGTCAAAACAAACTGATATTGGGGCAATGCTATTAACTAAACACCAGACTTTATTTGGGTTTCATCAGCTTTCCCATTAATGTGCTTTTTCTATCCCAGGAGTCAATCCAGGGTATAATATTGCATTTGGTAGCTTTTTTCTAGCAAACCTCCACTTGCACAAATGTAGCTGATCTTTTCACCAGCCTCCCTGAGCACCCGTTCTGTGCAGGACCCTGGCTGGATTCTGAGAGGCAGAGATGAAATGTCCTCAGGCAGTCGCTGTCTAGCTGTCGAGGCTGATGTTCACATACCACCATGGGATGCTCACAACCAGTGTGCTTTGCAAACAGAGCCTCTGTGTTGCAGAGCAGAGGTATCGGTGAGGATAAATGTACTATGCGCCCGGGAACGTCAGAAGTCATGCCTAGCTAGCGAGTGGGCTGGGAGGGGGGTCTGGGAAGGTGATAAACAGGGCTCTGCCCAATTTGACTTCAATAGGAAAGAGAAAATACTGGGGGGTGCTGAGCTAATCATTGCCTGGTTCTAAGCATCTATATTGCCAATGTCCTGGTCTCCAAAAACAATGAAACGAAGTACCCTAATACTGGGAGAATGTGTGTGTGTGTGTGTGTGTGTGTGTGTGTGTGTATGATTTCAAGCAGGGCTCATTAGGAAGAAACTCCACCAATCTTTCTTTGCTTTAGCTACATGGTAGCTGGTTGAACTATTTGATTTTATAGCAAAGAACTCACAAAAAAAGTGCCTTTTTCCCCAGGCTGAAAGCACAAGAAAACACCCCAAAACCTGTACCATGTCAGCACCCAGATAGAAAATCATTCACTTTCAGTGTTGGTTATTCGTTTTGTTGGTGGGAATCATCTCCCCTCTTCTCTGCTGACTCTTATCCAGGCAGAGGTTTGACTAGTGGGGCGAGGACCCATTTCCTCCATTGAAACCAAATGACTGCAGGGAAGCGGGGCCGGCTGACTGACACACAGACTCAGTTTGGTCCCCAGAGATGATCCTGGGGTGTCTCAGGGAGAGAGACCCGACACTGTTGAAAGCAGTGCTGTGTCTCCAAAAGCAGGGTGTCCACTGATGTCAGAAGAAATTGCAGTGTTGAAAACCTACGGGATTTCAGGTCGGGTTCAACCAAAGTGTTCCCAAGTTCTGCTTTCCATATTCAAAGCTTAACTTCTGTTCTCTCATGAGAATTTGCTTTCTTGATGTGGAGAGGCCAAGATGTAGCATCAACGCTCTGGTAGTCGGGTCTTCCACAAAAATTCTCAACTTGCACAGGCCACGAGCAATTCCGGACTTTAGTAGTGGAGCTGGGAGTCGTGTAGGGCTGATGCCGAGGGCCAGGCAAGACTGGGAGGGCTGTCAGCATTCCAGCTATTTAGCACCAGGACTCACTAGGCAGGTGGGCTTAACTTAAAGAGGAGAGAAAGTCGAGGCTCCGGAGTGGAGGTCCGGCGGTGGGGGGGGGCGGGGGTGTAGGGCAGGCCTCCCTGGGTGAGGCCCTGGAGGCTGAGGAGGCAGGTAAAGTGTGCCTTTCACGGCTGATTGGAAGCCAGTGTGACTTCACTAGCTGAGTGAACCTGAATCTTTCTGAAGCTCAGACTTTTTTCAACCACACATGAGAACATGCTCATGTGCACTGTCTATTTTACGGGGCTCTACTAAGAATTCAGAAAGCAGATGAATGTGCAGTAACTATATTACCTGATACAATGAGTAATCGAGCGGCTATTGTTTTCACTACTTCATGTATCTTAAAAGAACACTTTTCCTGCTTTTGAATTGCTAGAAATATGGGGGTCTTGGCTCAGTGAAAAGAGAACTAACGTTATGCTACTAAGAAAAAAACATATAAAACAATATATATTGCCTGTTGTGGTAGAGAAAGTGATGGCTCTGCAAAGATGTCCATGTTCTAAACCCTGGAACCTGTGAATATGTTACGTGACAAGGCAAAGGGGAATTTAGGCTGCAGGTGGAATTAAGATTGCTTATCAGATGAACTTAGAAATGACCTGATGATCCTGGAGTGCTTGGGGGTGCCTGATGTAATCACAAGGGTCCTCAAAAGTGAAGAAGGAAGATGTGACTATGGAAGAGAGAACCAGAGAGGTGGCAGCATGAAAAGGACTTGGCCTGGCAGGGTCAGCTTTGAAGACGGAGGAAGGGGGTCGTGAGCGAAGGAACTCAGGCAGCTTTAGAAGGTGGAAGAGGCAAGGAAGTGGGTTCTCACGGAGAGCCTCCAGAATGTAGCATAACGTGGCCAACACCTTGATCTTAGCCCAGTGAGATCCCTGCCAGACTTCTGATCTATAGAACTGTGTGATGAAAAATTTGTGTTATTTTAAGCCACTAAGTTTGTGGTCATCTGTTACAGCAGCGATAGAAATCGAATGCACCTATATAGAAATTCTGGAACAATGGCACATTCTTGGATATAAGAAAGAAATGTTTATTAGCTGAACGCTTTTTCAGGAACCTCTTTCCTTCTTCTCGTGTATAATCACCGACACATTAGTATTTTTCCCCCGTTTGCCTGGCATGAATTGTGAGCTTGAACAGCTATTTACAGAGCTCTTTTTACACTTTCTATTATGTTTGCAGAGATTTATATACAAAATACAGGGAAGCCTGCTTCAGCTTCCCTGGCTTGATTTTGAACAGGGAGTGCCAGGGGTAAATTAAAAGGGAAATTCCAACTCAAGGGCAAGGTGGTGTTGATAAAGTCCTACTCAAAATATTTACAGAAGAAAGATGGGTACGGTCAAGTGGGCTTTTTCTCTATGATGTCAAGCTTTCCGTGGGAACAATGCAGATAATATTGCTTGTCCCTTTGCTTACTTATAACCTAAAAGAAGGGAGGGGTAAATGACAGAAGCCTGATTCATACTGTTGGACCCCTAAAGGAGCTCAGAAAGGGAGAGGAAAATCTAAACTCCTAAATCAACATCTGTAAAAGGATTTGGAACTGAGGATGAGGAAGTTCTGAGGCCTGCTAAAAGGGA